CGGGCAGGTTCGGCTCGATTGTGTTTTTGTGTTAGCCTGCCGTCGCCACCTTTGTGTTGTTCAGGATATCGTTTTCTCAAAGAGCGGAATTTATTTTCGAATTTTAAGTAAAAAAATAATAATTTTGACTAGTTAGGGCTCGCCATTGCTGTGCCGCTGCCGCTCGCGGCCACGGTCCCCTCTGCACCCCCCACGCTACGCCACTGGTTCCATCTCTCTTTCCAACTCATAAACTTCTATACTAAAGTTACCAAAAATAAAATTCTACTTTGCTTATTCTGTAATACTTACATTACGGTTGTCATTGCAATTTAAGTTCCTAAGAACTAGATATTGCAATTTAATTTAATTTAATTTAATAATATATCATTCATTATTTCATATTTAATTTATTGTTTACTTTGTCGCTTTGTGTGGGTGTGTGTATGTGACTTAATTTTTGGTGTGTTTTTAAAGAGGCATGGTAGAATACAAGCGAGGGCAATGTCCCTTTTAAATGCGTACTTATTAATGAACTAAATACATGTTTAGACTTTCACATAGGATGGATTCTGTTTTTAAGTAATCTCTGATCCAGGTTACATAAAGAAATATGTAGTAAAAAAAAACCAACAATATATCTTACAATTATAATTTTAGATGGAAAATGAAATGATAAAGATAAAAATAAATTACCCCAACTACTTGATGCGTAAAACGGAATATTTGTCCATAGAGATTTACGCCACAGAATAAATCAATCGAATCCGCAAATTAACGGTATATCTCATGTCAATATGAGTGCATTAGATCTTGTATGCGGGTCGTTTTCTTTTGTTTTGAGCTTTGACTTTTTATTTGGTTGCGTTCATTTTTTTAATATGTTGTTAGTTTTTTAATAACCTAATAACATAATAATTAAAACCTTTTTATTTTGTTTATTTTTTGTTCATAAATTATTGTCTCTAAATCGATTCTCTCTTTGTCAACTCAAAATTAACTCGATAAGATATTTAAATCGAATTTTTTTTCATTCGATTTAACATCACTACAGCTCTAGAAACTTCAAATCTCAAACGTTCCCGTACCCGTGCTATGCGAAAAAAGAAAAATATAGTATGTTTTAATATTTATTTGTATTTACCTTGTATTTACTTTTTATTATATTGAATATCAAATGAAGTAATTGTGATTTTGACTTTTTGTTTAATTATTACTTATCATTCTTTAATTTAAAAAAATACATACTTCTCAAATGTCGGACGGTGGCATAACAAGCAAAACATTGACGGATCTTGTTCCGTTGTTCTGGAGGTGACATTGGAACAAAAGTGCGCAGCTTGAAGTGGTGTTGAGTTATACTATAACGGGCTGGTGTCAGCAACTCGACGTCCAGGCGTCTATTTTGGGTGTGGTTTATTAAATGATATAGAAAAAATGATCACTCTCTACAGTTTTACTTAGATATTAAGTTACAAGGTAAACCAAATTTCTGTGTTGCTGAAAACTAAATCGCAGTGCTAACAAACGCGATGTGACTCTCGCCTGGACAAAACTCCGTTGCAGCTAGGGTTACCATCCATCCGGGTTTGTTCGGACATGTCTGGCTTTTGACCTTCTGTCCGGTTTTGACATTTCTCCGGACTTTTCGGCTTAAAGTGCTTACAGATTTGCTCAATTTTTTGACGATCAAACAAAAGGAGCAAATGTAATAGCAACTGATGATCGACATCGTTTTTTTGTCGATCGACACTTGCGATCAAACAAATCGAGCAAATGTGGCAACAACAAACGAACGACATTATCGATCGACACGTGCGATGAACACAAGGTGCCTACAGATTTCATCGCTCGACAAAATCGAGCACATCTGTATGCACCTTTAGGGCAACAGTTTTCAAAATAAAAAGTAAAATATCCACCTTACAATTCTTTAGCCTCTCACTTACTAAGCTGGATAATGAATGAAAATCTGCCGATATTGTGGAGTATATACGGGAGAAAACCAATGCTACCCTGAGAGTCGAGCAGTTGGTGTCCCACCACTATGTAAATTTTAATTCATTTGTGGTGAAAGTACCTACCTACTTAACATCTGTCGACCTTCATGAAAGATGAGTTTTGATCGAAGGGGTCATGTACCGACGTTTCCGAGGCCGGCTATCGGACACCCAGGATGCGTTACACGTCGCAGACTATACGTGTAAATAATAATTAGTCAGTAGTGTTTTTATTGTATTATTATGTATGTTAGCCTATAAGGTATGTATTTATGGGTCTTTGTTACCTGAATGCAAATAAAAAAATTACAGCATTATAGTCAGATTCTGTTGAATATCATGATGTTTTCAATACCATCACATTTATATACTTTTTCTGATAATACTCTGCTAGTTTGGTATTATTAGTATCTGACTGAGTGAAAAAAATATGTTTCTTACAAGTGACGCAAAAAACAGTTAAACGTAAAACAAAAACCATAAACATGCTCGTAGAGAAGTTCGTAAGATCTACTGGCTCGGTCTATCGCTCAGTTGGTAAGAGCGGCGGCCACAGTGTGGCAACAGAAGCTGATTCGAGTCCAGTCAGAGCGAAGGAATTTTCATTTGCGTTGCTCGATTTTTACTAATATAATATCTTACTAATATAGATATTTAATAACATATTTTATATAAAAACTGATATCACTTTCACTGTTTTTATATTTGTTATTATCCTAGATATGAAGTTAGTTTGCAAGTGTACTGCATCATTCTCTATATATCAGACGTCGGACGTCCTTAGTTTGCTCATGGTAAGTTTACCTTGGTCGGTCCTTACGTCCTTACCCATTTGCTCGCTCACACTATCTGTTTCGTCAGTCTTCATTCCCTCTATATGTCCTAACTATCTAAACATCTAAGTTTATATATTTCTTTATTTATTTTCTAATTATTACAATTCTACATCTACAACGAACCGACGGAATTCGGAGCACGACACTGCGCTCCCAAACTCAGATTGCTGATGTAGCCTAACAAGCTGCGAAACTGAAATGGAGTTGGGCTGGTCATGTCTGCCGTATGTCTGAAGACCTGTGGGTCAGGGTAACCAGTGGATCTCCAAAAGCGTGAGGCGCCGTGGCAGACCGAGGAAGCGATGGCGTAACGAACTGGGCGCCTACGATAAAGCTTGTGAACCCAAGTTAGCTCAGGAGGAGGCCTTTGCCAAGCAGTGGAATTCACCAAGCTACTTGCAATTGTTATTACGATTCTTACAATAAAAAACCTAAAAATTTTAACATGGTGCAGCAACAAAATCCTTGTTTATCCGTATACCGCAATATTTCTTCCAAAGCCCCTTCTCGAACACTCGCATTCAGCGACTTACAGGAAAAAATCCCCGACCTCTAATTAATTGTACTTTAAAAATGCCCAAGGGAATCTTTTGTCCCGGAAAATCAGCCCCAAATAAAGTCAGGTAGTTTTTTTATTATTCAGCACAATTTAATTACTTGCCAATTCGCAGGTTTTTGGCAATTGGATAAACTTACCTAAGGGGATTTGAACTAAAGAGGAAATTCAAAGAATTTTCGTAAGTCTTCGTTATTACCAGCCGTTGGATGTTATAAATAATTTATAATTATGCAATATAAAATGCAAAGGATAACATTTAAAGCTACAATGCAGAATATTAAATGTCATTATTAACTAACTAACCTTATGAAAAAGTTCGTCCAGGAAGGTACTGCCTGAACTATTTCTGCTTATGCCTTCTTCACCTTACCAATATCCTAAAATTATGACACTGTCTTTGGTTGAAAACGGGATATGGTTTATTATTTTAAATTTTACATTACATTTACTATTAATAAACAATATTAATAGGAATAACGTATATTCAACATCGTATATTATATCCTGGTGCAGATTTTTCTCTCTCTTTTGTGATACCAAGTGAACGAACGAACATGTCGGGCGCCGTGGTCACTCAGAGCTTTAAATCGCATAGATCTGATGGGCACTCGCACTGCGCACGTTACCCTGAGACATAAGTTGACAAGCCCCATGTGCCCGTAATTTCACCAGCACCCTTACCACTCAAAACCGGAACGCATACTGCTTGGCGGCAGAAATAGATAAGGTAGCAATACTTCGTTGGACCATCTCTTTCTCAAGGAGCTCTACTGCTACTAAAATTATATTGGGTTTAAACGAAAATATCTTCTCTCAGCTACCAGAAGACTAACAGAGATGTCGCTGTATTAATTGCAATATTGAATATAAAATAAAAAGCATCATGCTTTTTTTACAATAATGATCATATTTGTGTAATTATTTCTTTCTAGTATTACCAAAGTTCGCTTCCTGAATTCGGATACTAAACACTCGCTTGACTCATATAGCATGATGAATGGTGGCAATTAACATTTTACCGCTCCAGGTATGGCTAAGAGCGATTACACACGGTGACTTTTAGAAGAGATACGAGCGCGCGCTTGTGAAACGCACGAATGCATCGCGGTACTTGTAACTTATAGGCGGTGGCACGGATGCAAACGCGCCGTAGCATCGATGCAAACCCTGCTGTCGCTTATGTTGAATTTTTTTTATATGATTTCATGTGACGCGACGAACAAAACTGGAAAGCATTAACGCGGCATTACTGCTAGGCGACAGAAATAGATAAGGTGGCAGAGCTTCCCCGAACGAACTCTTTCACTGGGAGCTCTCTACTGCTACTAATAATGGAACAATTAAAAACGTGGATCGCGGTTGTACCGCTGCTTAAATCGCGTGTGTGTAAAAGTAGACGCCATTGGATCGCGACTGAATCGCTGCAGAAAGTGCTAAGAACAAAAGCGTAAAACTTTTTGGCCCTTTTTACGTGCTGTACACCTGGCGACGCCTAACCCCAAGCGTGCTGTAACACGTACCTTTCTCGCTTATCGCAGTTTCCTCTCGAACAATAGCGATTGTTTACTGCATTCTAGCGAGTATATAAAACATTTCAAACTGAATTTTGAAACAATACCTTTCAGGGCACGTTGAAAAATATCAAATTTCCGCAGTCACGAGCCATCGCGTCGAGCCTTAGACCGCTCGAAATACAATGTTCTGATATTGTTCAGTGATGTTAAACGATTTTATAAAAAAGAAATAAGGAATCATGAACAGTAAGTAAGATTTTTACGGCAATAAGTAATGTTCTGCGACGATAATACCAAAAGAAAACAGTAAGAAATCTTTTAATATCGTGTAGTGTTTTGATAAAACATTTGTAATGTATCAGAGGATCCTTCCAGATTGTAATACCAGGTTTGTATATGAGGTCCCTGATGTTAGAGATATTTTGGTAATATTTGAGGTTTACGAAAGCTTTCTTTAATCACAAAAAGGGTGAAAATATAAAATAATTCATTTACATTTTCGTTTATTTTCGAAAAAAAAAACATTAATTACTAACATTAAGTACATTATTTATTTTGTTATCTGATTTTCTTTTTGTAATATGAAAAAGAATACCTAAACGAGTTATTTTAAATAAAATCCAAATAAAAATAAATTCAGCTAGAAATATGGTATTTTCAACATTAATCCAAACTGTTGTCCATGACATGCACAATTTAGTCTTTATTGTAAAAGACAGCGACATATCTTTTAACCCTGACCTTTTAATAACAAAGCTGGATAAGAAGATGACGTCACTAGGACTTTATTTAACAAAAGCTCCAACCACAGTATTTCAGATATTTTAAACAAATTATTTCAGAGATAGTCGTCGTAATACTGCTTGCTTTCCATCTAGCATCAACAAACGGATACAAAAACAAGTATTTCTCACAAAGTCTGGAATCTGAACCGTCTCTTTCCATCCTGTACGCAAGAGACAAGACGAGCGACAAAGTAACCAATGAATGTTTAATGGAAATGTATCCACGTAATTTGTATAAATACCCATTGCGCATAGATAGGAATGACGTGCCTTGCATTATACACTGTGTGCTAAAGAAGTTCGGTATTATGTCCAATGATGGGCACATTAGCATAAACAATTACTACAGGAGGGTACAGGCCATACACAGATACGACCCACGGATTTTGATTTCCGATGTCGGAGAAACGTGCGCACAAAACATCAATGCCATGAACTTAGATCACGATGTGTGTAAAAAGGCTAAAGTTTTCAACGACTGCACTCAATTATACGCAATAACATTTAAAGAACCGGAAATGTCAGAAAGCTGGCCTAATAAGTAAAAGTAATTTTGTTTGTTACTTATTATATTGAAATTGGTGATTTTTTTACTTTCGTAAATTAAAATCTATTTCGTGTTTATTATTTGTTTTAATATCAATAGAACTCACCCGTGTGTTTAATATCGGGTTTAAATCTCTTCCATTAACTTTAGACGATTCTCCAGAGGAGAAGCGGGGACAACTGTTTTGCTAGATGAAACGTTTTAGGTATTTACAATCAAAAAACGGTCTCTTATAACATATACGATACACCTAAGAATATTTTCTAAAGAATGTGCTAATTTGTTACACCCTAGGATGTACTTTACCCGGTCATATAAAATCCTGAAAACCTGTATCCTGAAAGTAATAGTCTAAAACGAATAATTAAAGAATAAAATATACAATACAATTGGAAAGAGAAAGTGGAACAAGTGAAAGAGTCTGTGTATTTGGGTTCTATGTTTACATGCGATGTAAGATATGAAAGTGACATTAAAAGGAGAGCGAACACAGGGAAGCAGGTGAATTGTGCGTAGGATGCCTTCCCGGGCAGCCGGGAAGTGTCTAAAAAGGCACTGGTTCCTACACTTATGTATGGTAGTGAATTTTGTGTTTGGCTGAAGAAACACGAAAGTAGTATTAATGCAGTAGAAATGAGAGCTTTGAGGAGTAAGGCTAGAGTATCTAGAGTATCTCTGATGGATAACTTATGGGACAGTCTGATAAGAGAGCGTTGCGGCGTGGAAGAAGACGTAGTGACAAAGATAGAGATGTTTAGATAGTTGGGACAACTAGAGAGAATGAATGAAAGAATATTGACGAAACAGATTTATTAAGCGAGTGTGAGCGGGCAAGTTGGTAAAGGCCGACCAAGGCGAACTTACCACGGTAAAATTGACGCCATCATAAAAAAGGGCCAGGTCAAGAGTACCCTTCACCGACGAGGGTAAATGTAAGCACTGATGCGTGTTGATGAGGCGAAAGATGTGTGTCAGGACTGTAGCAACTGGAAGACTTGTCTCTACCTAGCCCGATGGGGAAAAGGCGTGAAGTATATGTATCTACGTATGTACAATTGCACGTAACTTTTATATGGAGATATTTCTTCAAGTACCTACTTTAGAGATCCTGCTAAGTTTTGGTTTTCAGCTGAAGCCCTTTAATCTATACTTGCATTCAAATATCTCGTCTTAAATAAAATCTAAGTTATAAAATACAAGTCATAGATGATACAAGAGCTTCGAGCAATGTTGGTAAATATCTTTTATTGAATAATATACATAATGAAAATGAAACTATTTTTTTAATCGAAACTTACATCGCGTATATTTGATTAATAGATTGAAGCTTCTTCTTGTATCGATAGCACTTTTTTTTTAATTTACTTTAAAAGAAAACCAACAGCTTAAAACTAACTTATATAATTACAATAACAAATGAACCAATTGCAGATCCTCACAAATATAAATATAACATAATAATGCATCATTTCACTAACCTATCGCATAAAACATAATTTAAGTAAAACATAAAAATACAACCGAATTTGCAAGCTTCTATGAATTTGAATGAATGTTGGTTTCTTTGCAAAAACAAAGGCATGTCTTTAAATGATCTTTTTAAATTTGCAAAAGTAGCAGGCAAAAAATCTAAACCGTCATCTTTTTTATATAAAATATATTACATTTATTTTAATCAATGTATAATGTAATCTGTTCTGAGCTACGTAAAAAAATGTTTGATATGTATAAATTAGCTTTGATAGTTTTATGTTGGGCCTCAAAACTAAAACAAATGAGAATTAAAAATAAAATTAAGATAATTACTTTTAAAACTAAATAATGTTGATTATGTTTGTATAATCATATTTTCTTAATTATGGTATAATTTGATCTGAAAACATGTTCGGATCTAAAACAATCGCAAACAAAGTGACTTCTGGCAATCGCTGGCCGCTGCCGGGACACGCTCGCTTCGCTCGCTCGACTCGTGCTGCTTTTTCTTATACTAATCTACCGCAACCTATTGAATGGAGGGCGTAACCAAGCAACCAGGATTTATTAGGAGATCAATATCAAAAGATATACTGGTTATAAAAGTCATTAATCGTTAAAAGAAAAGGTCAATAATAAAAAAGAGGACCAAATACATTTTTAATACCAAATATCAATTTAGTATGCTTAAACATAATAATGGTCTTACTTTGAATGCAGCTCATTTATAATTTATCCGTAGATCAACTCTTATAGATAGAACGTTTAATATTATATCAAACACCAATTCAAATTAAAATTTCAAAAAGTGCACATTTACAATAGATCAATTATTTCTTTGAGGATCAAACAATGTTATCCCAAAAACAAATATACGCTATTTAGATCCCAAAAATGTTTCCATTTCCCATGTGTCCTAAACGCAAAAACCTAAACACTCGAAACATACTTAAGTTACATACGAACTTCATTCGTTTGCTTACAAACGGTATATAGCGCTCTTGGCGTTGTGGTAGAAAAACACGCTGTTAAAAATTGTTATCGCTTTTCAAACCTTATGAAATGTGCTACATAAACTTGTTTCACAAAGACCCGAAATCCGCTACAATCTCTATGAATAACCGGAGACTTTATGAATAACCCATTTTGCCTCTCATGAATATTGAACGCTTGTATAATGGAAAATCATCGTTTTTTTTACATCACGGTCCAATTCGTTGGAAAAAAAGCCGACTTTGTTTAGTACTGGGTTTCGATTCTAATTATGTTCTGATTTAGGCGTTCTGTATTGTGGCCTCATTATAGACATGACTACCAGGACATTATTATAATTAGGCATTAAGACTATAAGTTCTATAGTGATCCATAAATGCATACCTAAAAGGTAACTAACATACGTACATGATATATATTATCATGTACGTATGTTAGTGTATAAAATACTGTTTATGTAATTACACGTATGAATTGCGACGTATGACGCAACGTGGGTGTCTGGTAACCGGCCACACACATTGACCAAAACTCCTACTTCGTGAAGGTCGACAGATGTTGAGTTCGTACTCTCACCACAAATGAATTGAAATTCACATTGTGGCGGGACCCCAACCACTCGACCCTCAGGGTAGCATTGTTTTTCACCCTTATATACCCCACAATATCCGCAGATTTTGTGGACTAATGAAGTCGGATACATATTGTCTCGAAATTCAACTTTAGAGTCCGTCCGTACCGCTTAACGCAAGAGATGAATAGGGCCAGTGGGAGCGGCGGTGCCTCGGGTGGTGTATATCTTTTCCATTTCACCCTTTTGAAACCGTGATGTTTTAATAACACGGTTTTAAATGCCTCCGTGGCCGAACAGCTACCATGCTGGTCTATCACGAAGGTTCGATTCCCGGACCGGGAGAAATATTAGTATGACCTACCTACATTTATTGATCTCGTGAGTTTGGGTGTAATTTGTTGTTGTCTATATGGGTTTCCATGGCACCCGCGACACAGGGTTTCCCTAGTGCGGGGCTATGAGTGTGTGCATTATTTATTTATTTATTATTTTATTGGCCACTAATAGGTTTTTGAAGTCAACATAAATGACTGTATGTATAATGTCTCATTTATTGCGTAGTCAATAGCAGAAATCGCTGGTTACCTTGTATTTGATTTTTACGTCAAACATAATACCTGTTTATGAACTGGCCTAAACCAGTATTTGCTTAAAACTACTTCTAAACAAATACGAATTTTAGTTGGTAGGTTTATTTCACCGGGATTTTGTTTTGATTTTGATTTGGCTTTTCAGTTGTTAAATAATAAGAAACATTAATAGACTATTAAACTAATAAATAATAATAATGGAGCTGGGATCCTGAATAAAAAAGAGTTTTTGAACAAAAACTTTGTTTTGTGAATCAAAGTAAAACAAAAAATTTAGATGACAATTATTCAAATTTTTATTGTATTAAAAAAGTGAGGTTTGGCAGTTATGAATGAAAAATGATATCTAATAAATGACACCACGACCACTGTTACCTTAGAGGATGGAAAAAAATAAACACAGTGTCGATTCTTTCATCAAATGTTTTAATCATTTTTTGACAAAATGGTGGGTCTTTTTCGTTAATCACTTCACGAATTTTGTGAAAGTTTTAAGGCTGCAATCGATTCAATTGGCTCCATATAGACTCAGTCTTTAACATAACCCCATATAAAATAATCCAGCGGTGATCAATCACATGATCGAGCTGGCCACTTAACGGCTGAATTTCGTTCTCGTTTAGCTCTTGTTGAAAAACCCTATACGTTTAAATACGTTTTAGGGAAAATGATATATACAAATTAAATTATTGAATTTTTTCCCCTTCAAAACCGAAACTCAGTAATGCTCACGTGACTGCTTGGCGGCAGAAATATGTAAGGTGGCAGTACTCCCTGAACGAACGCTTTCACAAGGAGCTCTACTGGTACATAAATGCTTTTATAATGTGAAAGCCATAAAGTAATACGAACTATATGAAACAAATCATTGCCTTTCTTGCTCAAACTTGTACCTTAAGCACAATTTAACTGAAATACGAACAATGCATGGTATATACAAATTTGCAGATGATTTCACAATACATTTCCCTTATATTCACACACTGACTTTTACTGATTCTTGAAGTAATGCACCCAAATTAACAGCCCTGATAAGTTTAAAAAAAAAGATTTTTTTTCAATCGCCGAATCACAATCGAATGTAGTGTCGAAACCTTAGAATAATAACGCATAGAAACCTAGCCCGCACACGCTAAGTGAGGCAAATTGAAGCGCTCCCAAAGGGCCTACACGAGCGGGCGGGCCTTCAGTGCTCAAGGTCAACTTGCACCGCGAACAGATCAAGAATTTTAGCTAAAAATAACGAAATGTACGGTAAATGAGTGTAAAAATACGTCAGACAAACATAAAATAGATACTAACATCACGTTCCACAAGGAAGTAACGCGATTCAACTTGTATATTCACTAAAACCGAAAATTAACCTACTATTGAAACTAGCCTACAAGAATTTGATTTTTGCCTCACTTGTGACAGTTCGTTTGATATGAAACTATCATTC